TGCGGAGGTGTATATAGCATCCCTCTTAAGTTTAGTGTAGTAGTGACAGTTGGGCAGAAGTGACCCACGTGCCCAGTTAAAACCAGGAATATTGAAGTCTTCTCATGAAACAACGCGAAAGCTATTGGTGTCAAGCATGTTTTCAAGAAGGTGAAAATAATTAATAATGACTCCCGGTGGAGTGTCAGGAGAGAAATAGTGGTTGCCAGTAAGCAAATTGTGGCTGTCAACTGTGGGAATCTCAACCCATACACATTCAGAGCAGAGTTCTAAATCATACCTGTGCCTGCAGGAACCCAAGCTGGAGGGAATGGCTGTTAAGACACCACCACCACGAGCTTTGCTGGTGGATACCCAGTCAGACCGGTAAACAGTATATCTACTAGGAAATATATTGCAATCATAGCACAAATCGTTAAGCCAAGTCTCAGTCAGACAGATAATGTCAAAGTCTGTGGAACAAACATTATCATAAAATTCAACATATTTCGTCCGGAGTCCTCTTTTATTTTGATAATATATTCTGAGACAGCTGGCAGACTTAAAATGAGACATGACCAAACCATCCATGCTAGAGTCATTGTAATCAGCCATGATTGGATGTTGAGCAGCCTCCATCTACCATGTTGTTAACCTGCTGGGTTAATGGAAGCATCAGACACTCCAGCTTCGGATGTGCTGGGGGTAAATACTTAATCAGGCGCAAGCTTACCATAATACGGGGCAATTAAGCATCGTGAAGGCCAGACACCGATGTCACTGATTAGCGAAAATTCATCCTCAGTAACAGTAATATGGAAGGATGCATAAGTGTTAAATTTAGTTCTAAGTCTGGTGCAGACCAACTTTTTTAAAGTTTAATTGCTCCTTGAGGGACTTGTGTACATAATCAGCAGTGACCTTGGGGCTAAATCTAGACACAAAAGGTGCCTTCGTCCTTTCCTTCTTCGCAATGACACGCAGGGGTGGAGAATTACGAACCCCAATAAGCGGCTGCCTGCGATGTCTGACAGTGCTGACTGTGGCTATATCTGCAGGGGGGGCTTGGCTTGGGTCTTCATTTTGTACTTGACAATTTTAAAGCCTTCGGCATCAGCGGGAGAACTTCCAGTTGCTACAACATCCCTGTATGACAATCCAGCCAAGGTCGCAGTAGCAGGTACAGCAGGTAGAGTAGAAACAGGCAGGGTGGTGATGCTAGGGGCACTTAACTGTACAAGTTGAGTAGTGACCATGTCCTTGGTTACCATAGGCGGAATGCGTAGTTCACTTGCAGCATAAGGCCCAGGGGCGGCCACAATAAGCCTATGCAGACTCTTGATTTCCTCTTTCATGGATGTGTTATCATCTTTAAGGTAGGCAACCTCTTCAGTTAACTTGCTGAGCATGCTCGCTAGGGACTCAATCAAGTACAGCGTGGATTGACCATTTTGGCAAACAGCTTCGAGCTGGGTACTTACAGTGGAGATCGCGTACTCTGTGTTCAATGAAGGGCGAGGCTTATCTTCAGGAGGCAGAGATGTAGATCCAGTTGAGCTGGCCAAATCCTTAGTGTTGCTAGAGCTGAGTGATGTCGCGCATAATAATAATAAAAATAAAAACAATAAAAAGGGAAAACCTACAAGAATAACCCTTGCAGCACTGAAGCTCTGCAGAATGAAGCAACATGCATACTTGGTTCAGTTACCATGGACCAACTTCAGAAAGTGTCGCCTAATTTAATTATGCAATGCAAGGCATGTTTGCAAGCAGAAGAGGGTCACTTCCAGCACCTGTTACAAAGCACAGTAAGTTTGTGTTATCTTTTTACAGTATTCTTATAAATGTATGCAAGTACAGAAACTGATATGAGGGAATCAGCGATACGACTGCACTCTCACATAGTCGGAAGTGGCACAGTAGTCACACTGCTCTACACTGCTCTCAGGTTTCCTCTATGGCTGAACACTCTGTAATTACAGTTTACTAGTCTCATGTTCGAGGGACATGAGAGTTGTATGCGATTTTTGTGAATACAGCCTCTACAATCATGACAACTGCTTACTTCATAGAATTATTTGGGAACTTCAAATTATCAGGAATGGTATGTGTTTTGTATTTAATTCTTTCTAATTCCCTTAAAGAATTTTCCACATGGTTGTATGTGACATTCTGAATGAAATTGTCAGTTACCTAATTACCATTCCCATTTACAGACATCTGAAACTAAAATATTTTTTTAAAGAACCATTAATATATATTTAGGATTTGAAGTCCTGACAGATTGTTATGAAGAGTCCAATCTTTTGAGATATGATGACCTGTTGTCTGTTGAATGCCATCTGATGTTTGGGAGGAACATATTGCCTCCATGTTATGGGTTGAAGAGTAAGCCAAGCAAGAAACCAATATGAAGCAGGCAGCATTCAAAATGTTTCAGGTGTGTGATGGTTTGGCCTGCTGCTGTTTTTGTCATATGTTTATATTAAAATAAAATATTCTTTCCTTAGAGATATAGCTAATTTTTCAACCAGCTATATGCATTTTCTAAAATTGCACTGCTTCATAAGCTTCTCTTGAATTTTATCAAGAATGTAATGTATTCTTCTGAATATATTCATGAGTGTGGGATTGACGTAACAGATGAATTACTGATCATATCTTTTGCATTTGCCAGATATTGAAGAAAAAATATTAGTACAATGAGACAGTACATCAGCTATTCATAGACTTCAAGAAAGCCTATGATTCAGTTAAGAAGGAAGTATTGTACAATATTCTGATAGAGTTTGGGGTACCCATGAAACTAGTTAGGCTAATTAAAACGTGGTTAAACAAAATGTATGGTAAAGTCCATATAGGTGATCATTTGTCGCGTAAATATCCTAGCCAGAATGGTCTAAGACAAGGAGATGCTTTATCTCCACTCCTTTTCAACTTTGCTTTAGAATATGCCATTAGGAAGATCCAGGAAAACCAGTTTTGACTGAAATTAAATGGGACACATCAGCTATTGGTCTATGATGATGTGAATGAATGGATGATAATATAGATCCCATAAAGAAAAACACACAAACTTTAATTGACTCTAATAAGGAGCTTGGTCCAGATGTAAACTCAGAAAAAACTAAGTATATGTTGCTGTCTCATCACCAAAATGCAGAGCAAAATCATGACATGAAGATGGGTAATATGTTTTGAAAATGAGGCATAGTTCAGATATTTGGGAATGACTCCAACAAACCAAAACTTGATTCAGGAGAATATTAAGAGGAGATGGAACGTGGGTTATGCTTCCTACCATTCAATCCAGAACCTTTTGTCTTCTCGTCTGGTGTCTAAAAACACGAAAATTAGAGTATACAATAACATATTTTGCCTATGGTTCTGTATGGGTGTCAAACTTGGTCTCTAACATTAAGGGAGGAACATAGACTGATGGTGAAGAAAGTCGTCTTCTGGGTTTTGGCACTGTGTATTCTTCGTTTTGGCCGACGTTCCTCCAAAACGTCGGCCAAAACGAAGAATACACGGTGCCAAAACCCAGAAGATGACTTTCTTCATAGTCATCGCTGTGAAAACCTCAAAACTTACATAGACTGATGGTGTTTGGGAACAGGATGTTGAGAATGTTTGGACCAAAGAAACACGAAGCAACAAGTTGGAGAAAACTGCATAATGCAGAGCTTCATAACTTGTACTCTTCTCCAGGTATAATTAGAATGATCAGGTTGAGGAGGATGAGATGAACTGGGCATGTAGCACAAATGGGGGAGAAGAGGAGTGCATGTATGATATTGCTGGGAAAGCCACTGGGAAGATCAAGGCATAGTTGGGTGAATAATGTTAATATTGTAACGTGTCTATGTTACTGGTCCCACTTCTGACACCAGTGTAACGCGTATCGGGCGTATATCGCGACAAATAACTTCACGATGTATTTGGTATAGCGAATTTTATTTCACATTCGCACCTACAGTCACCCAAATTACAGATTTACGATTACTGCTATCTACAGTATCACAACTAGTACATTCCAAATGCCACAATACAACTGACTGGTTGCTGGCTAACTCAGAACTAACTCGGTGGTAGCTCGAGGACTGACTGACTCAGTACAACTGACCGGTAGCTGCTGTGAAGCTCACTTATATAGCTGCAGTGCTTGTCGATTGCGTAATGAGTGCCACATCACAGTAGGAAGTTGATTACGGGTACGTAGCGTTGCGCGTTACGTCACCGCGGAGGGGAGTGGCGGGGCGGGAACTCACCTATTACTGTAGTAACGCGAGCGTTACGTTACCGCCACGTACCGCTGGGGAGGTAGGGGTGATCCATAGCTCAACATGTCACAATATTGGATCTTAGAGGGACAGAATGGAATGGATTGGATAGATCTGGCTGAGGATAGGGACCAGTGGAGGGCTCTTGTGAACACAGTAATGAACCTTTGGGTTCCATAAAATGCTGTGAAGTTCTTGAATAGCTACACAAATGGGGGCTTCTCAAGTAGGGCCGAGCTCCATGAGTGGGTGAGTGAGTGACATAACTGAAAGTATTGGGCATAATGCAAAAGTGTTAAAAAATACTTGCTTGGTTTCCTAAAAAATAATCAGTTTATAAACACGAATTCACAGTTAGTATGTCTTATTTCATAAAGCTGGCATATCCAATCATTTTTACCAGAGTCCATGATGAATGACTTTGAATACATGTTTTCTGAAAGGAAATTTAGTCATCCATCTTAATACTAAGTATAGTCAGGACAGGCTAACAACACTGGTCATGTGGATGGAATCACATGACATTATCCATTTAAGTAATCACCATATTAGGCATATTCTGGATCTGCAACCATTTTATTCTGATGGAATCAAGAAAGTTATGATTTGCTGAATGAAATGCATTCAAATACATGTTTATTTTATAGAAATTTGAAGTAGTGTTGCTAATTGCTGTGTGAGTTGTAAAAACTTTTCAGATGTCTTGTTTTGTGGCAGTAATAACTGTTATTCTTTCAGCTGTAATTGTGGTGTATACTTTGGATGGAGATGTTAAGATCCCTCTACTCAATATGAATGAAAACTGTAAAGTCACTTATGTGGAAGATGAAGCATCTCTGGTCCATGAACTAGTGAAGTGTGTAAAGAAGTGGGACCCAGACATTTTAGGTGGTTATGAGGTAAGTGAGATTGAAATGTTCAATTAAATTATTCAGTCTGTAGGGTAAGACTAGCAAGGATTAAAATTAATAATTGTGCAATATAATTTAATTTCTGTGTGAATGCTAATGAAACTTTGGGTTCCTTCAGAGGAAGAGAATTTTTTATGACCTGAGTACCTATCAGCTTCTTAAGAATGACTCTCTTCCACAGAGTTAGTTATCCTTGAAAACGGAACTGTTCATAGTCACTGCAATGAGACCATCAAATCTCACCTAGTTACTTTTTTTCTGAGCCTTATTTCCTTGGTATACATTCTGACTATGTTAAATTGCTTCATATGTCCTCAGGGTTTTCACACCATTCCAGTGTTTGTAGTTGTTAATATAACATTGGAAGCCAGCATCAGGAAGGAAGATGCAAGCAGGCTCAGGAATTTCATAGTAACACTTCTTCTTGGTCCAGTCCTAGTACACTGTGGTTCAAATCCACTGCCACATCATAAGCTCACAGGACATCAGCCTCAGAATTCATATGTGATCTTTGCAGTGAGCACCAAAATTCACAGCACACTCCACACCAACCAGCTCTGTCTGTGCGTCCATTAAGACGGAGAATTCTGGAAGCCATTTGCAGAATGTGTGGCTGATTCTGCTTCCTCTTCAGCAATCGTGCAGTTACGTCAGGTCAAGCCATTGTCACAGGCACCCCAGTGTTGATGTTCAAATGGCATCTATTTTCCTTCATCCAACCCTCTGTGATTAAGCTGCCATCACTCCTCTTGGCTAATATGTTGAGTGTGAAGCAAGATTAGGGTGATGATGCCAGATCCTGCTTGTTTCCGAAGTGCTGGTCAGCCTCCTTATCAATGTCTTTGTTTACAATCTTTTCTTAGATGCCCAGTATCCCTGCACTGCTAGCATATGGGTTGTCCAGTGTTGCAACATAGTCACTGGCTACCATGTACTCATAAGGGCTCCAGTTCTTACCTCTCACAGCTTTGCTAGTTGTCTGGTTGCCACTTTGCAGTATCTAGCTTCAGTGACTTTTTAAGGGCTTCACTGATGAGCCTCATTGCCCATCTGTAGGCACTGTTTCACTTCCTGGCCCTTCACTGCATCAACAACCCCTCTGAAATTCTCGCATAACCGTGCAAGGGCTGATGGTCCAAATGCTCCATGCCTGCTGCAAACTCTCACCACTTAGTAACTTCCAGGTTTCCAGTTGTAACTAGTAGTCTCGTGGTCTCCGTAATTGTCCTTCCACACCCGAATGATATCCTCATATGTCGTTTAGATTTGGACACTATGTAGAATGTCAACAGTTTAACCCTTTAGGTGGACAAATGTCGATATACTATCAACAAAGTTTGTATCGTGTTTCTGCTGTCATATTTTCATCATATGTCACTAGTTGGCACTGTAGACTATAGCAAGTCATGCATGAATGTTTTATCTGCCTCCTCCTGCCATCTGGAAGTTGTGACAATGGACGATGATGCATGTGGAGAAATGATGCCACCAAATAAAACAATGAGGCCATCAAAAGGACAAGAATGTACATCGGGTGATAAAACATATGGAGAAACAATTTCAGAAAAATTTTATGCCAGGTAGAAACATTGTAATAGATGAATGAACAGTTGGGTTCAAGCACAAAATAGTTTTTGAAACCTATAATCCAAAAGAACCAATGAAGTGGAGCATCAGAATAAGCTGAAAGTGACCCTGGTTATATTCACAGTATATTTCCAAATTACAAAAAACTTAGGCAATATGTGTAACTTACCATACTCTGAGAAACCATTTCAAGAATGGTTCTTTCCTTGATGGACAGACTGTGAGTCAGTATGTCTGGTATTGAAGACTACCACAGTTTCACTGACAGTGTTGAGTTGCCCCAAGAATTGGACAGTTGAAAACGTAAGTACAAAGTTTGGCTTTTGAACTTTATGCCCTTGTTGCACCAACTTTTAGGGTAAACCAGTGCACTTGGTAGCTTGACAGTCATTTAAAAACCCCTGATGACCTGGCTGCAGATGGCGAGTAGATGCATGACTCCACCAGAGCTTCCCCATTAGTGCGATTAAATACATTCTCAAACTGTCAGTGAAAGACAGTCCTAGACGTGGATCCATCATGAGTATGAGTATGAGGTGTGAGCCATAAAAACTGGCCCTCCCACTGTGACCTTCAATGATCTATTGTGCTTCCCCTATGGATTAACTCTTTATTAATCCTACACTTCAAATGAAATGTAGGACTTTGCTTATGGGGGCGTCATATAAATCATTTGGTTCAATGGAGAATTGACCCAGGTGGCAATATCTCAGGTAAGCTACAGCCACACAATCACATAAGATGTGTGTGGCTGATTCATCTTCTTGTAGGCACCTTTCACAAGTTGGGTCCTCTGTCAGTCCCAGTTTTGAAAGGTGTCCTTTTAGGTGGCAGTGTCCAGTAAGTAATCCTACCACCCATCTTAGTTGATCTCTGTTTAATTTTAATGGGTCCTTTTGTCTGTTTGAGTCCAGTTGTGGATTCCCAGTGTTTTTTTTTATTTCTGTCAGTCCAATCCCTGATCGATTTCTTGTCAACTGAAATTGAGATGCCGCAAGCTGGTTGAGGTCCTGTGAACGGCTGTTCAGAGCCTGTTCTTGCCAGGTGATCTGCGGTTTCATTCCCAGCAATACTCTCATGACCTGGCACCTATATCAGTTGTACTCTCTTATGTCTGACCAGTTGTATGAGGGCTTGGTGGCAATCCCAAACCAATTTTGAAGTGAATTGGTGTGTGCCAAGTGCTTTGATTGCAGCTTGACTACCTGATAGAATATAGATATTCCTATTTTTGTAGTTTCTATCTAAATTATCAACTGCACATGCCTTAATGGCGTACACTTCTGCCTGGAATACTGTTGTATAACGATCAAGACTGAAACTACGTTTCTGCCCTGTTCCATTACAATACACTCTAGCTCCGGTGTGTTCCTTTGTCTTGGAACCATCTGTATAACAGATTAGTCCCACCTTTCTATTGGGTTGAAATCCCTCTCTCCATTCACTTCTATCATGAATTCTGATCATGAAGGGTTTACCATAGACATGTTTTGGTAGCATTTTATCACATCCCACCTGTAGGATGGGTTCCTGTTTAATGTCCTGAGTCATGTATGCATGTCCAAAACCTTCAGATTAAGTCTCCATTGATCATTGTAATGTAATCTGTAGTTTTCTAACTTGGCCTCTGCTTCCATCTGCATATGCAGTGGGAGGAGTCCTAGTAGGATTTTCATTGCAGCTGTTCTCATTTCTCCCATAATTCTGTAGCAGGCTGTCCTTTGCAGTTTGCTAAGTTCTGCCTGACTTGCGAGTTTAACGCTAGGCCACCATTCAGTGGCAGCATAGGTGATTATGGGTCTTAATACAGCAGTGTATATCCAATACATCACCATTGGTTTCAGTCCCTAGGTTTTTCAGAATGTGCCCCTGTATGTCCAGAAGGCCTTAAAGGCCTTGTTAATAGCCTTGCCCAGCTGTTTTTTTCCATGTTAGTCCCTTGTCTAACGTTATTCCAAGGTACTTGACTTCACTGGATAGCTGGATCGCTTGCCTGAAGAGGATTGGTTCATTAAGACCCTAGATATTTCTCCTCCTAGTAAAGAGTATAATTACCATCTTGTTTGGATTGATAGGCAAGTTTGTTCTTTTGCACCCCTGTTGAACTGTGTGCAGGGCTGTTTATAAGACCTCTGACACAGTGTAAGGGAATTTCCCATTTATTAGGATTCCTATTTCATTAGCATATCCTACTGTGTAATGACCTTTTCTGTTGAGCTCCCAAAGAAGATCATCCACTACCAGGCTCCACGGCAGAGGGGAGAGAACACCTCCCTGCAGACACCCTCTCACCACAGATGCTCTCAGGATCTCCAGACAATATAGCAGTTATATTCCTGCTTTGCAGCATAGCACAGATCCATCTGCATATTGTGGGCTCAATGCCATGCCTTTCAGCAGCCTGTTTTATTGTGTCAAATTAGGTTCTGTCAAAGGTCCCCTCTACGTCAAGGAATGCTCAAAGAACAATATCATTGTATTCGATGGCATTTTCTATGCATGTAACCTCATTATGCAGTGTAGTTTTCAATGGATTTACCTATTTGGTAAGCTTGTTGGTTTCATTGCAGAGAATAAAATTTCAATGCACCATCCCTAATATGTCTATCTACTACTTTCTCCATTGTTTTCATAAGGAAAGATGACAGTCTGATAGGACAATAAGCCTTAGCCTTGGTATAATCAAGTTTCCCAGGCTTCTGTATAAATATCACTTTGACTTGCCTCCAGGCCATAGGTATAAACCCATGTGCCACGCAGCATAGGTGTGGGACTAAATGTTCCATCCCTTGCTGCAGAAGTGCTGGATAAATTTAATCTGTTTCTGCAGACTTAAATTATTTGAAGGTACCTAACGCACATCTCATTTTTGATTGATTGATTACCCGACCGGCCAGGTTCCAGTCTCCCCTGTTGATTATGTGCCTACATACTCCCAGGTTCTGCTGGACCCGCCCATCACCTGAATCATCAATTAGCTTCGGATCAGGGAAGTGAACTCTGAATAGTTCCTTCAGCATCCTTCTCCAGTTTCGGTATACTTACCATCAGGCAGCTTGATAGTACTGATCTTGTTGGTCGCCTGTTTTGCCATGACCCTCATGAGTCTGACTGCCCACTACATTATTGATCTCCTGGCAGTACCTCCTCCATGAGGATCATTTGGCTTTCCTTATCTCTCTATTGTAAGAGTTGAGGGTTTCCTTGTACATGTCCCACAGCCCTGTTCTGCTTGCTGTATTAAATAGCTTTCTTGTTTTAACTCTTAGCCCACTCAGCTTTTTATTCCACCAAGGTGCATTCCTTGGTAAGCGAGCGGTCTTGGCTGGGCAATTATGATAATAGGACAAGATAATGGCCCATTGCAACTGGTCAACAGACTGATCTGTGTCCCTTATCTTGCATATACTTCACAAAATAATCTCCAGAATCACCTTTAGGTTGTCCTTCTATGACTCCCAATTGGTTTTCCTAGGATTCTTAAAAGTAACTTGTTTTGCTGTTATTGTCATGTGTTGTGTGTATACCACGACAAATAACTTCACCTGGTATTTGATATAGCGAATTTATTGTGCATTCACTATTACAGTCACACAATTTACAATCCCACAATTACTGCCATTGGCAGTATCACAAACACTAGAATGCACTTAACTGGTTACTGGCTCAATACTCACTACTAACTACTGAATAGTGTTCGCTCTTCCTTAATTTAGCCTCAGCATGGACAACACAGAAGGCAGTTATGTGACAGGTACCGCTGTTGCCTGACACCGTATTTACAGGTTGCCTAGCAACACTGTTGAGGGTTGTTTACTGCTCTGTAGCAACCGCGGCATCCCTTGGTAATGTCACCGCGTGAGGGGGTGGGGTGTTGACTGGCCTATTACCATAGCAATGGCAATGCTCCAAAGGTGTTACATCACCACTGGGGGTGGACGGGGTGCCATGCATAGCGCAAATATGTCACATTATGTTACCTACGAGGGTTGGAACTTTAATAGTGGCAACACTGCTGTAGAGACGCCATGCAACGGAACCAAATAATGACGCTTATACCACACGTTAGTTACATACCTACCTTACCTCAGAGCAAATGGACTCTCCCTTCCCACATTACACGCATGTGCAGTGATGAGAAGAACAGCCTCGTATTAGCTGGCGGTCTAATGTAGTGTTGTCACGATGTTTTCGAAACATGAACAGCGGAGATGGATAAAGATTGAATATGCCATAGGCCATACAGCACAACAGTGTCATCAAGGTCTTCAAGAGGCTTGCGGGGAATCTGCATTTCCTTACAGAACAGTGGGAACAGAAAGCCTTCAGTGAGGGACGCCAAAATGTGGCAGACATGTGTTGGCCAGGTCGTCCTAGTGTCAGTGAAGAAGAAGTGTATGCTCTTTCTGTGTTACTGGAGAGTGATCGATGTCATACGATTTGTGAGCTGGCCCGAGAGAAAGCATTAGCACATACAACTGTGCTTCACATTCTGAAGGAATGCCTGGACATGAGAAAAATTGTGTCACGATGGGTTCTGTATGATTTGACAGAGATGCAGAAATGGCTATGATACGATGCTGCTTGTAACCACTTGGAGTGCTATGAGCGCTAAAGAGGGGCTTTCTTACGTCGTACAAGTATCATTACGCTGGAAGAGATATGGGCCAAATCGTACGAGCCACAAATGAAACACCAATTAAACGAATGGCATCATTATGGGTCACCACGAAAATCAAAAGTTTGTCAGAACCCCAGCAATGTGAAAGTTATGGTGATTCTCATGTACAATTGTGATGGTGTTATCCTAACGCATACCGTTCCCTGACAGCACACCATCAATGCGCAGTATTACTGTTCATTTTTGGAACACAACCTGTGACCAGCTTTGAGAAAGAAGCGGCAACACTTTCTGCAGAACCCACCCATCATTTTGCAGGACAATACTCTGCCACATGCAGAGCAAGCTCTGGCTGATTTGTTCAGTCAGTCTGGCTGGGAAGTGCTGTAACATCCACCATACTCCCCAGACTTAAGCCCTTGTGACTTCGACTTGATTCCTAAGATGAAGGAACCACTTCATGGCATTCGCTTCAGAATTGTTCCAGAGATTCTTCAGGTAGTAGACCATTCCATTCGAACTATCAACACAACAGGAGCTGCTAAAGGTATCCTATGACTTCCACATCGCTGACAATGGGTTGTACACAATGCTGGTGACTACATTGAAGGACAGTAAAACTTCGAAACATGCATCTATTTTGTATCATTTGTAAATAAATAGTTGCCCTATTAAAGTTCCAACCCTCGTATTTGAAAGCATATGTACCTGTGGTCTGATAAAAATGGCTCACCAGATAGATTCCAATTACTTACCAGGTGTTCTGTTTTATCTGTCCTTAGTGTCAAGTCAGTAACCTCAAAGTTTAAGTTCATTACCATGATTTAGAATATTCAGGTTCAAACTCACCAGAAATTCCATAAGGCTATCTCCCATTGGATTGGTGCTGGTGCTCCCCCACAAGATGCGGTGTAATGCATCACACGCAATGATGAGTTGTGGATCCATCATACTTAGGCGTCTTTACTTTAGCTGCACCCATATCCACATTTCTGTCACCTCCACATCTCATTTTGACTTGTACTACCACCAGCTGCATCTTAAACTCCACACATGTGGCTTCCAGGTTGTGTTGAGTTGTGTCCCTGTCATTATGCCACCTACAGCTCACTACCAGACTTGCAGAGATTCTCAGCCTGCTGTTTAACAATTCCCATCTGTCTAGTATGTATATTATTGTTTCCTCAGATTTCTTCTGGGCAGCCTTTGTATCACCTATTTCACTTTGAATTTCTCTTTTACAGGAACTTATGTCCTGCTTGAGTTCCTCCTGGCTGGAGCATATGTCCTTTCTGGGTTGTTCAAAACAGGCTCAGTTTTTAGTGGCTGGGTGCCAGTTGGTCTTTGCCAGTTCTTATCATATTTAGCTTCTTCAGAATTGCTGTAATGCTGGATGCATTTTTGATCTCATTTCTGAGACCAGTTTTATATCTTTTTTTGGATCACTCCTCGGCTTTGTTCACTAGTGTTTAATCCTATGCCATTGCCTTGTCCTCTTCTTGTAAGTAAGATGTAAAAGTTTTTGATGGTGGTACAGTAGTACAAATATTATATTTCTGTACATTATCCATCATCCTGTTGTTATCTAAAAGACCGGCCTGTTTATATTTAAAAACACGTTTTCGAGACTATATTGTGTCTCCAGCTTAAGGTGAAACCTACTCAGTTGTTCTCAATTGATAGAGCTAGTCATTATCTCTCGACAGAAATCCATCTCTGAAACGTTGTGTTTTGAAATATAAACAGAACAGTGTTTTAGATAAATCTCTTCTTGTAGCATTACATTCTCTTGCACACATCTTCTCAGGTCAGCTTCTAAGCTCGCAATGGGACTAACAGTGTCAAACTTCACAACTGCAATTTTATGCCTGTTACAACTTTGAGAATGTTTTGATCATAACACAAACTGTAGATTCTCCATATGTCTGGAAGGAATGAAAACAAGAAAGAACCATGATTTTCATGAGAAAGGTTTGCACCAGCCATGCTGTGCTCATGCTCCTTATTGAGTCCCACAATACTATGGTGTAATGTTCAGGAAAATAGAAGTTCCACATTCAGGCTTGTAACTTGTTGAGTCTTTCTCATATGTATTAATGTTCACATAACAGTATTGTATCTGTTTCAGGTGGAGATGTTATCATGGGGTTACCTCTTTCAGCGGGCTTATACTCTTCAAATCAATCTGGGTCCTTTGGTATCAAGAGTGCCCACTGCAAGTCATCAACATACTGGAAATGAAAGTGCAACCTCTAATTTTCACGAAGAAATCAGACTGACAGGACGGATTATGCTGAATATCTGGAGGCTGATGAGACATGAGGTATTTGAGTCATATGCTTATTGTAACACTTCCAACTTTTGTGTGTGGCATTATTTTTCAGGTTGGAAGTCATTTGTAAAAGTTTTTCGGCATTTAGGTAAACATTGCAGTTGCCATCTTCAGACAAGGGTGTAAGCAAATGACACAACTCAAACCTGAAAAGTGATCTTATGCATTAGACACTTTTAGTGGAAACTGGAGTTAAAGAATCATTTGTATATCTTGTATTTGATTAAGTTCATTGTTCACGGAAATTACGTTCTACTCGGACTTGGTCAGATAATCGTAAAGGCTTCCATAAAACAAGATTGTAAAGGTATACTATGTACATTTAGTAGCTTTGTTTAGCTGAAGTATTTATGAATGAAATACAGTGGGCCCTCAATCTTCGAATGGTTTGATGTTTGAACAACTTGAAACACGAACAAGAAAACATGAGGAAAATCCTGTTTTTAAACTGGAACAAAAATTTGGAAGTTAAACAAAGAATCATGTGGTCATCACATGGTCACCTCTCTCTGCTTGGTTGCATGTGCAGTTGCAGTCAGTTCTCTCATGCCTGCTTCAGTGAGCATCTTGCAAATTCAGTCTGTTTTTCGAGCATTTTATTTATTTCTGTGGGTTATTTTTATATTATCTTTAATAATACTCATTCATAATTGCACCAAAGAAAGTTACTATAGGTGAGAAGCTTAAGAGAAAAATAATAATTTCTCTGATAGAAATGAAAAAGTAGTTGTCACAAAGTGGGAAAGTGGTACACATTTATCCGACCTGGCTGAATATGGCATGATGGCATGGCTAAGTTGACCGTATTGACCATACTGTAGAACAAGGAAGCCATCAAAGTGGCTAATGTGGCAAAAGAGGTACAAACCCTTACCAGTAAAGATCACCAGCAGTGGAAGAAAATAAATAAATAAAAACATTCAGTTATTGAAATTAAATATACTTGTTTTATCATTATTTATCTGGAATGGATTAATTCCCTTTACATTATTTCAAATGGGGAAATTAACTCGAAAGTCAATCCATTCCATTTCCTGGAATGGATTGTATTTGAAGTTCGAGGTTTCACTGTACTTGAGACTGGGATGAACTCCCCCCCCCCTTTCTAATAGAAAAAAAGACATTAAATTCACAAGGAACTACTCACTCTTACATGAAACTCAAATTGGAAAAGAAGACAAAACTATATAATGAGTGAATAAAGAATTTCAAGACTTCACTCTTATACACACCTAAGGAAATGAAGTATATGTAAATCATTTTATATATTCTTCACAGTCATATTGTAAGACATTTCTGTCCAATAAGTGTTTGTTTGAAGTTGTGGGGAAATACTTTTAAGTTGTCAGGTAAAGAGGTCATTAAATTTGTCCAGTCTAAATGAAAATTGACATGGCTGAATAGTTTTTGTAAAATTTTCCAATATCAGATTTTGTGTAGTTCCATCCAGTAGTTATAGAGTTGTTTAATGTGTCTGAATGGATGGACTGAGCGAATTTGAATAGATGCCCTGGGGATACCTAAAGAAATGGATTTAACTCTGTTGTGTTGCACGTTCAAATAAATTTATTTCAGAGGTGCAGCGGTACATTCAGAAAATCATGTTTATACAACGACTAGTCTCTTGACAAAATTCTAGAGTTGGGATCTTCGAGTACAAAGCAGGAATGCAAGCCACAGACATTTGATTTTACTCGAGATACAATTACTCTTAGTGACATAAAGACATTGATTCTACAGGTTACATAGTGCTCATGTATGAGAATTACATTTTCAGTATAAGATGAGAAGTTCGAAAATTATTCATAATTCAGATGATAATGAGAATTCTCACTAGTATACCAATTTTTTGCTATAATAATTTATTTTAACACTAGCCACTTTTTCTGCGTAATGTCATATTTTCCCAAATGAAAGTTGATTCCAAATGTAAGGCACTACACCAGAAATATGCCTGCACTGAGGAAGTAATTGTATGAGTTAATTTCAGACTGATATTACAGATGTGCGAAAGAAGGTAAATATTAGAAAACAGGTTGTACATGAAATTTGTGGAGTTAGTTTCATTCTTAACTCTTTGACTGGCGCGGGCGTGTTTTAACGCCCGGACGATGCCAGCCGTTCCCTGGCGTTGGCGTGTTTTAACGCTTTTCCAATCTCGTCCCTTCTTTGCTCTCTTGGCACTCATCAACCAAAGACATATATATGATAGTTTTTGTGCATGTTTGTAAAGAACCCTTGTAAACTTTGTGGTGGTCTATATTACTGTCAGAACCCTCTGAGAAGGTAAAGGTCAGAAAATATTTCACATTCATTCAGTTTCACCATAGCTTCTTGCAGCAAGTGTCTTCGTGTTCCTACAGACTAGCTGGAAAATGTTGTGAACGAAATTTTTTCTGATGATGAGAGTGGCGATGAAATAATGATTCCTGAATTGGATGAAGTTGATAGTGATAATAATACAGTGATAGACAATGATCCACAAGACAGTAATCATGAACATTTACCTACCACGAGTGCGGTGCCTGACACGCCCATCTCATGAACGTACAGAGACATTGTACCCCCAATATTTCCATTTGCTAATAGTTTCGGGATCAAAATTGATATAACACATAAAATACATCCCTTTTCATGGATTAAAATTTTTTCTGGATGACGACTTGGTAAATCACATCACAACTGAAACCAATCNGAGGGAGAACAGTCAAGGAATGAAGTGGATGACGAATCTGTTGGGTCAGACTAGAGTGCAGTCACGCCTCCGCCCTCGACCTTGAAAAGACCACCAGTGAAAGAGCCAGCAAATCGTCTAGAGGGTGGCTTGAAAATTCAGAAAATGGTCCATGTTCCTGACAGTAACAATAAGAAGAATGGTGTCCTGAGAAAGTGTCGCGTGAGTGCTAAGCACAAGGTTAGAAAAGAAACAAGTATCATGTGTGCAGGCTGTGGTGTGGCTCTCTGCAAACTTTCATGTTTCAATGTTTATCACACGAAGAAAAACAAATAAAGAGGTATGGAAAAGCATTTATTGCCTAAAATATTGTATTGTAATTAGTTCCTAAAAATTTCGTTTTTAAAAACCAATTTTTGTTGAAGTTGTTTAGGAAAAAGTAACTACATGCATTTTTGCGACATAAGGTTTAAAGGGCCTGCCAGGACAGGGGTGAGATTTAAATACCCTTCGTGCCAGTCAAAGAGTTAAAGTCAGTGATATTCGGTTTCACCAGTCTCATCCTGTTCATTATTCCTGTTGTCTACAGCAGGCATGTCCAACTTCAAACAGGTTGTGATCGACTTTTTAGTGCCAAAACTGCCAGTGATCTACCACTCCCTCCTATGGTCGTACCTCACTTTAAACAAAAATGTTGGTAAAAATAACATGACACATGATGTTTGTTGTAAAAGCAACATACATTGAAAGTACAGACTTACCTTCTTTGTTAGTGAGACATCTGGGCCTGCATTTCATCCACCAGCTTTTGGAACTCAGGTGAGTATTGGGTGAGGGCCGGTTTCAGGCAATCCTGGAGATGTTCATCTGGTATGTTGGAAAGCTGGGAAATTTGTGTGTAGGCACTAACTTCCAAAACGATTCTTGTCCAGCACGAGTCTTGAGAAAAATGTCTTTTTTAAGGGTTAATATCTCAATTTCAAGAAATGCCTTCCTCAGTGGGTAATTTTCACAGAGAGCAACTGCAGTTTCCTTAATGTTTGAATCTGATTTGAACGGGAATGACAAGTACCTACAACTGTTCTAATTTTTTGGAAGTCACAGAATCCTTTTCTGAAATCTTGGATAACAGAACAGATTTCAGTCACGTACTTCTCTGTCTGAAAAACAAAATTAGGATATTTTGGATATTTTTCCAGATGGTTCTGCATATTAGAGAAAGTGATGAAAAGTATTGTTTGTAAGGTCATTCATCAATAGCTCAAATTTGCTTTTGTAGGATGAAACTGTACTCATCATCTCAGCAGTGCATTTGTTTTTATCTTGTAGTTCAAGGTTCATATCACTTAGTTTACCTGTAAAATCAGCCAGAAATGCCAGCTCAAATAACCACTTCTTGTCTTCTAACTCTGCTTTCTCATCTCCCCTCTCCTTCAATAAACTGTTTATTTCACTCAGCAAACTACAAAATCTCTGCAAAAATTTGTACCTACTCAGCCACCTTACATCTGTTGCAAAATGATATCCGGTGTCCCTTCCTGAAGAGATAGATTGAAAAGCCGTCTTTGAAGAGATTTACCACAAATTGAATTTACAATTTTAAAAGCCATCTCCATAACAGTCTTTGTATTGAGTCTCTTGCTTGCCAAAACTTGCTGGTAAATGATGCAGTGGTAATAGAGGAAATCAGGGGAGTTGTGCTGTCTACAGAGGGCAATAAAACCATTAACCTGACCTGTCATTGATTTCACTCCAGCAGTAGTTATGGAAACAAGTTTATGTAATGGAACATTAGACTTTGTGACAAAAGAATAGGAAGAATTAAATATTTCCTGACCCGTAGTTCTCACTTTTAAAGAAATCATTCCAAGTAGTTCATTGATGCTGAAACATTCAAAAGCCATAAAAACTAGTAACTGGGCTGTGTCTCTGATTTCTGTAGATTCATCCAGTTGGAGGGAGACAGCAACACAATTGGAAACATCTTTCAACAACTGTTCAGTTATGTTTCCATACATCATTTCTATTCACTTCACAGTGGTGTTTCTTGATAACTAAAGATCTTGAATAGTAGCTATGATCTCTTAAATTCTTCAAAAAGATTAACAGCTATTTCAAGAAAACACTCTTTTACAAATTCCCCTTCAGTGAAAGGTTTGCATTTTTTAGTGATCAGATTCCTGACTTTGAAGGATGATTTGGTTGCATTGTTAGAAAGTGACCTTGGTTTTGCCATCAACTATTGTTGAGCAGCTAATTTCGATTTAAGTCCTTTAAGCTTAAGTTTACGAATTTCACTTTTGGGTGAAAAATCAGCATCATACTTATTGCTATGGAGAGCATTATAATGATGTTCCAGATTACCATTTTTTGACAAGGATACTGAGGTGTTGCATTATCCACTATATTGAGGTAACTGTTTTATCTGGCACATGCGCACGGACACTTTCAAAATTAATAAAATAACATGGGCAGACCATTTACTGTCCCTTTCATTACACTGAGCTCATAGCCAAACTGTATATCTGTTTAATGCACAGCAAAGCAGCAAATCTCCACAGCTGATATAATAATATGCCTCACTTGTTAGTTCAATGTACGGGGATTCACAGTTGACTGGACGGAGGGCACAAAGTGAATCACACATTCTGTTGATCACTCTTTCATCAGAACACACGTGGTTGATGACGAGTGATGAAATAAGAGTTCACGTGATAAGTATAGAGTAGGAACTTCCCCACAGTTCACTTAACACAAGTGTAAAGCAATTTTCACATAAGCTACATAAGAACAAAAAAATAGGAATGAGTAATATGTATTTTCCCTTCAAAATCTGAATATAATCATGTTATATTACAAGCGAATTTACATGCCTTTCATGTATAAATTCCTTATAGTCCTATGAGATCGACCAAAAATTGTCCCGCGATCGATGCGTTGGACATGCCTGGTCTACAGTATCTTCACAAGCCTCATCATTTGTCTTACATTCACCGCTCACATTATCATGTTTAAGGCCACCATTCCTAGATTCTTCACACTTCCTCTGATCCATAGCCTTAAAGGTACCTGATACTTTTTGACACATTGTTCCCTTTTATGCCAGTACTTATTTTTGTTACATCTGCTATTTTTATAATGAGGGACTCATGCATTAGCACAAAATCTCATGATGTGAATCAGTGAAATACCTCCCTTTCCCACTTTTTATGGTGCTTCAGGCAACTTCATGGCCCTTAGACCTTGATAGCTCTGATTTGTTCCTCTCATTGGACAAAAATGCAAATTTTGGCATAACAACTCTGAAAACTTAAAAGTGATTTAAAACATCTGGTTTATATTTTGTACTTATATGAGAACATGTGGGAACCTCCCACAGTGCTTAACAGACAACTCACACAGTGGACGAAAAGCAGGTGATAATTATATGCTACTGCTTGCAACCTGGTTTGTCTGTACATCAACAGAAGCGCTACCCAGTCAGTGCTCATAACTGCAGCTCCACCGCCAACTGGTCCACGCCCTGCCCAGTGTTAATGGTATAAAAATGCGGTCCTGCAACAGGCTAGCATCAGTCACAGTAGTAGCCGCTACACTGCCAGCAAGAGATCACTGCAGCTTCAACTCTCCAGTAGAGCACCGAACCAACTTTACACTGCCAGATGCCCATTTTTTGCATGTGCACATAGACCTCATGGGACCCCTTCCAACATCAGTGGGCTACACATACTGCCTCGCTGCAATCCACGTTTTCACCTGCTGGCCAGAAGTCATCCCCATCCCAGACATGACAGCCGACACCATGGCATGCACTACTGAATGGGTTGATAGCCCATTTCAGTTGCCCACAGACCATCACCACCAACCAGGGACACTGGTTTGAATCTCAGCTTTTCCAATTCCTGGCCAGGATGTGTGGCATTCAGCTCTTGAGTACAATGTCCATCATCCTGCGGCTAACAGACTTGTGGAACGCTTCCACCAGACACTGAAGGCAGCCATCATGTGCTATGCGGACCAACAGTGGACTAAGGCGCTTCCCCTGGTTCTCCGTAGGATCTGCATGGCATTCAAAGGTGATCTGCAAGCATCAGTAACTGAGCTCGTGTATGTCAAGCCGCTAAGAACTAAGAATACCCAGTGAGGTACTAACTTCAACTGGAGACCTGGTGGATCCAGCGCAACTCATCACTGAGCTCCGCCAACACTGGCCCACCTCAGACCTGTTCCAGCAGCACGCAATGCCTCCCTGGATACTTTTGTGCACAGCGACCTCAACAAGTGCACCCATGTCTTCCTCTGGCAGGACACAACGTGCCGGGCTTTGGAGCCCCCCTACAGCAGCCCCTAACAGATCCTGTCACAGAGAGAGAAGACACTGCAACTCCTCGTGTGCGAGAGGCATGTCATTGTGTCAGCCGACATGGTCAAGCTGGCCTACATCCTCAAAGAGACCAACCACGGGAAGAGCATCAGTCTGTCAGCTGCAGCAACCCTGACCATAGGACCACCTGCCATGCCGCCACAGTTCTCTACAAGAACTGCACTCTCCAGTCACCACGTCCTTTCCCCGCTCGCCTGAACATCTGAGCAGCAATCTCTGGGTGGGGGAGTGAACAGGCAACTCCTCACACAGTGTACCAAAAGCAGGCGATATTTATATGCTACAGCTTTCAACCTGGTTCTCTGTACATCCACTTAAGTGCTACCCAATCAGCACTCATAACTGCAGCTCCACCACCAACTGGTCTGCGTGCCGCCCAGCGGTAATGGTATGGTAATGCAGGTCTCCAACAAGCTAGCATCAGTCACAGCAGTTGCCACTACACTACCAGTAAGAGGTCACCGCAGCTTCAACTCTCCAGTAGAGCACCGAACCAACTCTGCCAGCACACGTACCATAGGCAGCCAACTCTGCCAGCACATGCACCGTAGCTCCACCAGCCAGCCAGACTCTCTCCTATCCTATCAGCTCACAATCACCGAGCTGCAGCAAAAAGAACATCGGGCTGCCACAAGGAAGCACACTGCGTTTGCTAGCTAGCTCGGATGGAGATTAAACAAACTTCCCTTCTAGGGGCCTCCACTCAGCACCGTCATCACTAAACCGGGCTAACTGCTATGAAAGGAGTCTCACTGGTATTCTTCAGACATGCTCCCCTCTCATCTGTAATACCTATTCTAAGCGCAACAAACATTTGTTGTTATAGTTTCAAGTGGTTGTCTCAGTGAAAATCGACGTCCCACAAATGCTCTAAAGCGGGGATGATTGGGGAAGAAATTTATCCCCCAATTGAGCATTTATGATACTGATCCCTTTTGACATTAGAAAATTGTGTTCAAAACAAAAGACAAAAGTAGCTATCAGAATATTTTTGGAGTTTCAGACTGAAAAATTAATATTTGAGTCTAGATCAAGAGGTGTCTTCTTCATTTCAGACTAAATCTTTTGAAATTCACATATGCCTAAATTTAATCATTTTGTTTCTGTATCAGAGTTTGTTCATTTACCAGTGCTTTTTCTAGACTGCTGTACGATGGGGTACCCAAAAGAAACTGAACTAATTTTTTTGTGGGCAGAGCTTTTGTAGTACCGCGTTTTGCCGCTATGAGCGCATAGAGCTAACATTCCTGAGTCGATAAGCCGACTACCGTTGCTTCAGAAGGTAAGGACTAGTTTCAGCAGAGTTTATAGTGACAACTGTTTTGTGTGATCGTCGTTTTTGCAATGGCTGATTTTCGTGAACAGCGTGCGGCGGTGAAATTCTGCTTTTTGCTCGGGAAAAGTGGAACAGAAACTCTTGAAATGTTAAAAACGGCATACAAGGACGATGCTGTGGGGAAAACTCAAGTGTTTGAGTGGTTTTCCCGTTTCAAAAGTGGTGAAATGTCAGTTGATGACAAACATCGTTCTGGTCGTCCTTCCACGGCCCGAACACATGAAAATGTTGAAAAAATTCGTGAAATCATCAAGAAAGATCGACGACGGACCATTGAAGAAATTGTGGAGCTGTCGAGAATGACTTGGAGCTCAGCGGCCAGATTTGTGGCAGTCGGGTGACTGGTTTTTCCATCATGACAATGCCCCTGCTCACACAGCCCTGTCTGTACGACAATTCTTGACCAAAAATGGTATGATCCCTGTTCCTCACCCGACCTTGCCCCGTGTGACTTTTTTTTTGTTTCCTCGAATGAAAAGAGACATGAAAGGAAAAAACGACCGAGGCGCTGTCAAGCATCTCAAAAGATGAATTTAGACAATGTTTTGAAAAATGGAATAAAAGACTATACAAGTGTATTAGTGTAAGTGGAGAGTACTTTGAAGGGGATTGAAGGTTTGTGCTTAAAATTTGAATAACTTAAGTTAAAAAAAAATAAGTTCGGTTTCTTTTGGGTACCCCCTCATACATATCATGACAAACAAAATATTTTCCCTTGCAGAACACACTTTGAGCATGCAGTTTGTTAATTTTCACTGTATGGTTCATGTGGAATCTTTTGCAGTTTGCTGAACATACAGCCATCATTTGGCACTCTTATATTTACAATAAAATACTTCAGACTGCTAGTATTCTATAAGACATGGCTGAGCTCGCAGGTAAATAGAATTGCTGGGAAGTGCAAATGTTAAAACGACCTTTGATTTGTCACAGTACCACATGTTAGAAAAACCTTAATTTAATTTTCTCACACTTACAGTAGTTCTGATTGTCAGCATTAGGTAGTAATGCACCTTCATAATTACATTTATACTTTTTCGGTTCTTAACAACTATTATACTTTGTGAACATTTTCAGGTAGCTCTGCAGAGTTACACGTTTGAGAATGTGGTGTTTCATGTACTGCATCAGAGGATCCCTCTTCACTCTTTTAAACACTTAACAAACTGTTGGGAACATAGAATGCACCTCTACAGGTCAGTGAATTTGTGATGATCTGTTTTTGGTGGGTCTTCTTGTTATAAAGCCATTTGCACTCCATTCTCAGTTTCCACCATGTTTCCTCTTATACTTAAAGGTGGAATACTTGTACATATTAGCCAAGTAATGTCTGCTGCTGAAGGTTATGCAAATATTACTGTAGTTTCATAGAAGTATGAATAGTGCCCTGAGAACAGAGGCCTACATGCAGAAAAGCAAAGCCTGGCAGTCAGTATTATGTTTGTCCTGGCATCTCTTGACAGAAATTTGAACTACATACAATAAAGGAACCAGCCCTTTGTTGTCTGCAATGATGGATTGTAGTAGGCATAACAACCTTCCTGGTTGGTACATTCAGTAGGTACATTAGCAGGAAAATGTATAAAATACTTTGTGTTTCGTATCCAGCTCCCAGTAAAGATTTATGATAATTAATTTCTTACTTGAAAAAATTAAATTTAATAAAATTGTTAATTTAGGTAATTGTAATTTTGCTGCTTGGTCCTCATAGTATTGGTGACTAATAATGGAAGCATGGAACAGCATGCTCTCAGAAAACAAGAGGTTAACAGTAGGCTGTTTTTATTCAAACAGTTGATGACTTGCAGGAAAGATGTGCACTAGGTAGGCATGTGTGAGAATGACTTTTACAGTTCATGATGAGAATTTGGAGGAGTTTCAGTAATTCAGATGAGAACAAGAATTTTCTCTCCTAGAGTATGTTCTCTCTAATCACAATTTAAAACATTAGTAACATTTTAACTCTACATTAAAGTGTACTTCTTGTTTCATTTGATACAGATCATTTTTTAATTAGAAATGTTTGTACATGGCTGTTGTGACTCATGTACAGTACAGGTCATAGCAGTCAGCTGAGCTTCTCGTCAGTACTTCCCCCCCTCCTGTCTCTTCACTCACCATGACCATGCTTTCCCAGGGAAAATGCATATACAGTCCCATTGTAACTCACTGATCACTTTGCAGTGCACAGCTCTCTATACAAGTTAATTTTAATTGTCACAGGAATAAGATAAGCACAAATGTGAATAACTTTTTTCTTTTTGGTAAATAAGAATGGCCTGATAAAGTCTGAAATATCCTCCATAATGTTTGATTGGTGTCATTTGAACCAAGCACATACATTACCTGTGCTACAGGCCTGGCCAAGGCCTAGGTCCAGGTCTTTGCAGACCTCTACAAGAACCTCTCCAAAACTGCCCCTTATGTAGCACCTGGGATGCAAAATTGCCATATTTATATCTCTCTGGAGGATATAGTAGGATATAGTTACAGTGATTTTTGTTTCATGACTGTGGTCTAGTGGTCACAGTTCCTGGCTAGAAATCCAGAGATCGCAGGTTCGATTCCTGGCGCTACCAGATTTTCTGAGAAGTAGTGGGTCTGGAACAGGGTCCATTCAGCCTCATGAGGATAACTGAGGAGCTATTTCAAGGAAATAACGGCTATGGTCTAGAAAACCGAGTTTAACATCCATTGGATCTGTTGTGCTGACCACGCAGCACCCTCTATCCACTAAAGTTGGCACTAAGTTCACCGACAAGCGGCGGTCACTCGGTCACTGTAGTTTGCTTGTGGACTACAGGCCATGGAGTTTTTTTAAGTGCTTTGCATTATGTAAAGGCCAGTTGGACTGCAAACAGTTCACCTCTTTCAGGTCATCAAATTTGTTACCTACTTTTAAATTGTGAATCCTAATCAGGATTCCTTTGCAGTTTTGTTATTTTCACTAGAGCTGGCTAAGGTACTAGAAAAGTATAAATGTGCAAAATAATCTAAGGGGTTTTAAGCTATTGTAACGTGTTTCATTACTGAAGACGCCATAGAGATGGTTAATTGCTTTATTTAACAATCTACAAGTAGCGGCTACAATTAATTATCACAATATTACGGGTTTCCACACTTTACAAACCCTACAACAAAATCTCTTAACACAATCTTCACTTGTCTTCACGTACTAATAACGCGGGAGCTATACAAGTCTCCCTGAATTACACACTCCGAGTATAACTGTACTACAGCACTCACTATGTCTGGAAAGCACACGAAAAGTCTTCCGCTCGCTGACTTCTTAAGTATCGCACACTCGCAGGCTGCTATGTTTCAACTCGGCGACTGTTACTTTATAACTGACTCGCAGCCACTGTGCAGCTCACTTATATAGCTGCAGTGCTTGCTTGTTGCGTAATGAGTGCCACGTCATCCTGTTACGTCACCGCTGTTGATTCGCCTTGCATAGTTACCCGGTTGCGGGGGCTCGGCTCTCTTCGGCTCCGCTCGTGACGTCACCGCGCATAGCTGCCAGGATGCGGGGTGATTACTCGCCTATTACACGAGCGTTATGTTACCGCTACGTGCAGCTGGGGAGGTAGGGGTCAACATGTCACAATATTATTCAATTTTTATTTGTTTGTTATTTGTTTAATGATGTTTTTCAGTAGCTTAGATTATATGGCATAAAATAATAGAATGATTAGTTAATAACTGATTGAAAAGAATGTGGAAAGAAACAGTCATGGCCTGATTTGAAGTACCATCCTAACATTTATCTGGAAGGACAGGAAAAGCACATAAAACCGCAGAGAGGATAGCAGGTCTCCAAACTAAGAATTTGACCATGGAACTTCCTGAATACAAAGCAGAAATGCATCCTCTGATCGTGGCTTTAGGTCTTCATTGAGCGTGTATCATTCTTTCTTTCTTATATCTTCAGTAATTAAAAAAAACTTTACTTATCTTCATATTGAAAATGTCATTTAGTATCTGTGAAGGATAGATATATGTATGTGTTACAGAGACATAAGCCCTTTATCGTCTGGACAGAAAGTATCACAGTTTTAACTCAAAGTGGGCTCTGGTCTGTGAGTTATTGCTCAATATACAATGCGTTCAATGATCGAGGAAACCTGGCAACTTCGCAAAGTGAGCACAATTCTCACAGATTGCTGCTGTAACTGCCAATAGCAGGATTGGTCATTAGCCCCGATAAACATATGCCTTCAGGTGGTCATATCTTGTCACTGCAGTAAATTGCTTTAATGGCCAGTATGTGTTAGAGGTGTCAGTAGGTGGTCGACATTTAGAAGTTCACTATTGAACAGCATGTGTTTATTGTTGATAATTTGCAAGGGAAAATCTTACAGAAAATATATCCATAATTTTTGTCATAAATATCCTGACTCACCAGTTCCCACAAAGTTTTGTGTGTCCAAGCTTATGAAAAAGTGGCGGGCCATAGGCTCAGTGTGTAACATAAAGAAGCAATCGAAGAGGATTTGGCTGACTGAAGGAAGGTTTCAGGATGTTGAGGCACAACTACAGATCAGTCCTCAAAAATCATTAAAACGCTTAGCACAGGAAACTGGTGTTTCGCTATGATCTGCATTCACAGCAACAAAATTAATCAAATTTCACCCATATAAAATAAGAGCTGTTTATGAGCCGAAACAACCAGATTATGCAGCAAGAATTCGTTTTTGCAACTTGCCGCTGCAAAATGTGCACAATGGAATTGTGGGTCCACAGCTTCTGTTCATGCCTGATGAAGCACAGTTTTATGTTAGTGCTCATGCCAGTGCACAAAATGTAAGAATATGGAGCGATGAATATCCTCATGCTATACAGCAAGTGCCATTACACAGTATATTTTTTTTTTTTTTTAATTTGCTTAGTGGAGGGGTGGAGTCCAACTGGGTCCACTCAGCACAGTGGCCACTGATTGGCCTATTGTACCTGCCTCAGATGAATATGATGATGGAGAATTTGGTGGAATGATGATTGGCAGGGGAAACTGAAGTACTCGGAGAAAACCCGCCCCAGCACCACTTTGTCCCCCACAAATCTCACTTGAGCAGACCTGGGATTGATCCCGGGCTGCTGCGGTGGGAAGCCAGTGACTAACCGCTTGAGCTATAGCGCAGCCTACATAGTGAAAAGTTGATGGGTGTGGCGTGCTGTAAGTCCGCAGCGAATCATTGGCCCCTTATTTTTCCATGAAACCTTGAACTCTGACCACTACATTAATGATATACTGAGTCTGTTCTTCAGTCAGCTGACTGCTGAAGAAAGACAATATGTGTATTTTCAGCAATAAAACGCTACAGCACATACTGCTAATGCAACCATGGTCGCAATACAGGAAGTGTTTGAAGACAGAGTAATCAGCAGGGGACTGTGGCCTCCCAGATCTCAGGTTTGCGATTTTTATCTTTGGGGAAACCTAAAGAGAAAGTCTACAAGAATAATCCTTGCAACACTGAAGCTCTGTAGAATGAAACAACACACATACTTGGTTCAATTACCATGGACCAACTTCAGAAAGTGTCACATAATTGATTTATGCAATGTGAAGCAGAAGGGGACACTTTCAGCACCTGTTATAAAGCACTATAAGTTTGTGTTATCTTTTCACACTATTCTTATGAATGTGTGTGTGTACAGAAACTGATGCGAGGGAATCAGCGACAAGACTGCACTCTCACTAACAGGTAAGAGCACAGTAGTCATGACAAACATTCCATCTGCTCTACGCTAGCAAGTGCGCATATTTATCAGCTCTAAGGATTCATTCTACTATTGGCTGTTACAGCAGCAATCTATGAGAAATATTGTATCTGTTACACCTCAGGGGGAGGGGGTGAGAAAATATAATTACTTTGGTCTGTTGCTACTGTTTTTCTAAAATCTTCGCTGCACTCGGCTGCCGTCGGCTGTCTTGGTTATGGTCGCTCGGGATCGGTCGAGGACGGGATGGTTACGAACGGGTGAATCAAAACTCCCTGCGTACATCTTATCCTATGTACACTGATCTATTTACATTAAGAAAAGGGCCTGCTTGGCCTGTTGACATGACACTTCTCGCTACTCTCTCTCTCTTTGTTATTTTCCCTCTGGAGGTGGGAGGTACCCTGAAACTGTAGTTCTTTCATCGCCTTTCACTCTCTACTCGATTACTACCCTATTCGACCCTGGCTCTCGCTGGGGGTACACTGGAGATTGCACCTTGAAATCACTCAACAACACTTCTATCAACAACACTATTAAACAACATGGCTGTTATGCGTAAAGAGACTTACTTGCAATAAGTATGTAGATGACTGTCGCCATCCCCCATCTCGTAGCACACATGTCGGCGAGGGCCTCCGGCTGACAACTCAATATTCTGTTTAAGATCAGATCCCCAAGTCTCTCGGAATTCAGTAATTTATAGTTTTAATTTGCTAATTCAACTGTTGACGACAGAGGGTAGTTAACTCCTCCTCAGTGTCCTCAATTCCCAAAGTAATATTCTCATAGGATATTCTAGGTGGCTGGGGGTGGACCCACGGTATCTTATTGCTGCGTATTTACTCATATGACCATCTCCAGTGGCCGAGTGAGGCAAGCTTCTTGCTAGCGCTATTACGCATAAATGCTGATCATCAACATTCTTAACCTAGTTGCCTGTCCAGGTGTTGTCATACTACTGTAATGGCTGTAACACACTTTTCGCAAGTCTCGAACGTTTAGGTAATGGCTTAAATTTCCAATCTCAAATTTGAGGCACTACAGTATCCGGTCCATTCTGCTGCCCTGTATTTAAAGAATTCCATCATATTTTGTAGCAACTTGTCATCCAGAGAATATCCAAATGGGATCTCAGAGATATCACATTTTACCCCNCGCAGA